ATAATAATTTTCAAAAAAAAAAACATTATTTCTTCAAATCTTTCGTGGATGAGAATTGTTTTCTTTAAATGTATTAATTTTGATAAACAGAACAGAACTAATTAAGTACCATTCGATCACGGTCTACTAGCCTGAGTTTTGTTTCCTCTAATACATACGAGTATATTTTTCAAGAAGTCGTTTTCTGGCGCGAATAATTGCACGCTACCTCATTTCGTCGGCGCATTTTGTTTCGCCGGCGGCCTTTTGATACGAGCCCAGTTATAAGCGATGTTTTTTCACGCGTTCAATTGTTGGCGACATTTTTCTGCAGACCCATAAAAATCTATGGTATCGACAGAAGGCTATCGAACGAAGGCAATATTTGAACTTATTCCATCTTGAGATGAACAATCCTGAGATCGTAAATGTTACAGGTTCAAACTTCAATTGTTTTAAAATATGTTGATGCATTTGAATCTTTGAAGGAAAAAAAAATGAATGAATTATTGAAAATTATTGAGAATGCTAAATGTAACCGCATTGAAATATTCGGATGAGTTAGTTAAAACAAAAATGAAATCATGAATAAAAAAAAATGAAAAAAAAATTAAAACCAAAATATGAGCATGTTGATTTGTAAAGAACATTATACAAAAAATGTGGGATTATTTCAAAGAAAGGAAGAAAGCAATCAATTTCATCAAGTTCACTCTATGCAAAGATGTGTAGATCATGCAAAGTAGTGAAATTCAGACACAAACTGGAAGAAAAAGTCCTCTCGAAACAACTATTTTCATATAAACATTGAATTACACAAAATATACTTTCGAAACAACTTTTATATGGACATTGAATTATATAAAAAACAGTTTCTCCTATTCAGTTTGTATTTCAAACATTCGTCATGGAATTGAATCAAGATATTTACAGGATTGCTCACAATATCATTCAGATTCATTATTTCATTTAATTTTTTTATTTAGTTTTATTATTTGCATACAATTGATATTTCAGTTATCGTTTAAACATTTATCAACTAATTTTCGGTTAATGTTACAATTTTTTTTCTTTGCAAATTATAATTTTATTATTTTCTTTGAGATATAACGAAATAATTCACTGCAAATAATTGTTCTTTTCTTGAGAATAAAAAATAGTCTATCTATCATGTCTATCTTTCAAGAAGGGTTGGCAGGTTTAAACCAACATGCTTGAAACCATGGTTTAAACCAAGGTTTGAACCAACTGTTTTTTAATTTTTATTGTATTTTCTCTCTATGTTGTTGATATTATTCTAATAATGAAAAATATTTAAACTTTGACATGTGATGTGATAACAACAAGACATTTTGATTTTCCTGCATATTTAAAATTTAAGATGCAGAAGCAGAAGAATGGCAATAAGAAATAAAACCCAGATTTTGTTTTTTAATACCATATAAATTTATAGTTGAATAATGATTTTTTCTCTTGTTCCTCTCCCTTTTTGTGTATTGTGTATTTTCAGCCCTATTAAAAACTTGTATGTTTCATAAAAAAAATTAAATTCTGTCTTCAGATATTCAAGAAACTGTGATTTCTGATGGGGCTTCTTCTTTCTCTTTCTCCTCTTCCGCATCCTTTGTTTCAACGGAGCGAAACGTTGGTGCAGGCACTGAAGACAGATGTAATGATATCCAGACCAAGTAGGGTGAGTGCACCAGTAATTGACCGGTTAAGAGATTTCTCTCATAAAATAGGTTATAGTTATCAAACCGTCAACTTTTCATACAAATCAAAAATACGTACAAGATGGATCAAGTTTTAGGCTTCTAAATATGATATACTTCATTCTAGAAAACATGAGATTTTGGCACAAAAAAAATAGAGAATAACAAAATTCATAAATCAGCAGTAATTGACCAGCTAGAATCAGTATTTGACCGCGATTAGACTCAGTGGTTGACCACTTGATGAAATGAAATAAAACACGTTGATATATTGAATTATTTTCATGGAGAAAGACACATTTGGTCTTCCATACATCTGTATGTGTATGGAAGGAAATATTGGATATGAGGAGTGTAAAAAAATTCAAAAGTCGATATGAAATGGCAATGAGAGAAGCACATTTTTACCTTGATCCAAGGGAAAAATCTTCTTACTTAGATTTAATAGGGGAAGATACATGAAAAGCACTGGATTGAAATTGACATTTTACTAATAATTATAAAGTTTCAGGCAAAAAGTCTACCTTTTCAAAAATATTTTTTTGAAAAATGTCACTTTTGAGTGGTGGAAGCCACAAAAATATTGATACTAACATCAATAATGTTACTGAATAACTCCACACAGTCCAAGCGTCTTCGGCTGGCGTTGAAAGAATTTTTTTTCCTTTGGGCTAGTGCAGTTGAAACTTCGAAACAGGTTGGGTACAGCAAAAGCCTCCAAACTGGTGTTTTTATTTAAAGTTTTTAATACATCTGCCGCAAATGAAGAAAAATAAATTCTATTTTTGTATTTTCGAACTTTGTTATTTTGAATATTATGTTTGACGATTTTTTTTTGTTAAATTAATTTTTTGTGTGTTGTAATAAATTTTTTTTCATTGTTTATTACTATTATTTTAATCTATAGAGTCATTTATCTATTTATTGTGATTCTTATATACTCAGAAATTATTATTGAATAACGAAATTAGTTAGCTCCCTAACTATATTATTAAAGGGTAGTTGTTGGAAGGTAGGTTGCACTATATCGTTTACTTGAACTATACCTTACCTATTTTAAAGTTAAAATTGATAGTTGTAAACAAACTTTGTTTGCATGAATTTTATCGAAGGTTGTTATTATTAGTTACCAGCCGAAGTAACCGGATTCACTCAGGGATCGGATATTGTGTGGTGGTTTGAATCTGTTCAGATATGTTTTGAATCTGTTCGAATAAAAGGATAAACTTTAAAATATGTATCCCACCAGCGGGTAGCCCTACCCGTACAAAAAATGATTCGAATAGTCCACAATGTTTCAGAGCATTCCACACCATTTGAGACTGTTCTGTAATGTTCCAGAATGACAAGAATGTTCCGAGATGTTCTGCACTGTTGTGGAATGCAAAAGCACGTATTTTATGTAAAAACAGAAACCCTTTTCATTGATGCGATATAGAGGGCTCCGACAACATATAACTCCTTTGATCAGGAATGTTCCGGAATGTCCTGGAAAGTTATGGAATGCTCTCGAATGTTTTTTTCGTATTGTAGAACAGTTTAGAGGACAAAAACTCCACATTTCTTAAAAGGCACGTAAAATTTGCCACCTTGCTGGACCAGCTGATGTGATATTTTGACAGAAAAAACTGGAGGCATATATTTTCTGCTACGTGTGCGAAGCTGGGTCGGACCGCTAGTTCGAAATATAGAAATGAAAGATAAGATAACGATAAGAAATTAGACTCGTACCCAGAAAGGTCACTTTATTTGAATCGACTGAAATATATGTGTACATATCATTCATTCATAGAGTGAGGCTCAGGTAATGTATAAATAACTTAAAATAACTTCCTTCATCCACTTTAAAATTTACGAACTGATGAAAAATGAAATTGTACTATGCACACAAGCACTGAACGGACCTACCGGATGACGGATTTTACGAATGGAAAATGTGAAGGGAGTCCCTTCGAGAGGGCTTTTCACTTTCTCGTTTCTATCTAAAAATATCTTTTATGAATGATCAATACATCTTTGTAAAGGGTTTATTCTGGACTCAATTGCTTTCTTCCTTCCTCTGGAAGTTTCCAACTTCGTTGTGTGAAGTTGGAGAAGTGAAAGCCAAATAGCTTTCTTTCCCAAAAACTAATCTCTCTTGAAAATATACAATATTCAATTTAAACCCAATTTTAGTTTCAACTAATTCATGTGAATATTTCAGTGCGGTAATGTTTTATATTTTCAATAATTTTAATATACCATTTACCTATTTTTTTGTCTTCCGTAGATTTCAAGTCTGTTATTGTGATTAGATAACAACAATATATTTAGATCGGAATCTGAGTACTTGTTCGCGACTAAACTTAATGCGCCAATCGCTGATTGTATCTATTCAGAAGCTGATACATTTTTTAAAGTTCGTAGCATACATCTGTAATATTTTAGTGTCGACAGTGAAGAAATCTATTTTACCAATCAAATGTGTGTAGGGTTCGTATTTAGGTATAGGAAGGAAGAATTTTAACAGAAACAATTCATGTTTTAAGTTTTCTCTTAAGTTTGATTCGCTCATATTTATTATTGTAACTTGGTCTTTGAAAGTCTATTTATAGTAATTTGAACAGAATAAAAACTTTTCAAAGGTATTTTCTAATTATATATTGAATGAAACTTTGGTACTTAAAAATCACATACCTACAATGTTAATCTGTAAATATCAAAGACAATATTTAACATAACATCCATTCAACAGCAGCTCTCTTCAAGCCTCTTTTGGTACCCACAACTGAACTACCTCAAGAAAAATGTTTCTCGCAAACAACAAATTTTTCGTAAACCTGCTGAATAGAAAGGTTACCGTAAGAAAGGTATTTCATTCTATCATTCCAAGCGTGGAAAATGTCTAGCCCCTTTTTAGGAAAGCGATGTGTTTTACTACTTGTATCGCTTCAGTTTTTAAAACAATACTTCCTTAGTGTTACTATGGGAGCGTAATTGTTTTCCATTTTAATTTCACGTAATGATAACATCAACACAAAAACTGCATTATACACCTGAATGAGGCAGTAAATGATCAAGGAGATGAAATAAATAAACCAGACTCAAAGATAGTTTAAATCAATTCATTTGTTAAACTGTTACACACGCCTCATCAAATGTGTCGAAATTTTCTGACAACTGGTCAATTGGAGTATCGTCTATATACCACACAAGGAAACTTTTTAGAAATATATAGATATGGCCCGGCTTAACAATCTGAATTTTTATTGCTGTTATCTGAAGACCCTGCTTCTCCGAACGTGTTAAATTTTGATTCATTTCATAATTATTATTGAATATGAGAATGTGTTCCAAAAGTAACCAGAATATTTGGTGGTTCTAAAATTGTACTACTAAAAAACCGGTTAGATATGAGACACGGATGGTAGTTGAAATATACCCCGGTGAAATATACCCCGGTTTCGTGTTGTTTTAATAAAAACACAAACAATTTTCTGAACCAATTAGTTTTTGTTATTGAAGATACGGGTGTGCTGCTATGGCAGGTTACATAAGTGGCGTTCAGAAAATTATTAATGATAGGTATCCTTTAGCCCTATTTTTTCGCTGTGCAAACCATGTTTTTTGAATCTTTCATTTATGACCGGAATATTGTTGGTGAAATAAGAAATATTGCTGGAACTACAAAGAACATTATAAATTTATTTCGAGGGAATCGTTGCGGCGGAGTAAAATTCCAAGTATACCCCTATATTTTGTGAAAAGCGTACAATTTCATTTTCTGACTTTCGCAGGACGCAGCGAATTCTAAAACGAAAACAAGAGCGTATCAGCTCTGCACGACTGCCACTACTGCAAACATTGTGACACTTAATATTTGTTGCTTATTCTGCCAAACTTGAGCTAGTGTGCAATCTATTACAAGAAGTAAATATGGATTGATCACGTAAATGATGATGATGATGATGATGATGATGATGATGATCACGTAAATAAATTCAATATCATCGCGATAATGCATCTATAGAGTTTGTGGTCGATTGTGAGAAAGCTCAGAAAATTTGCGAAAAGGAAGGTTGAATTTAAGTGCCCTCTAGTAGATCAAGTCAACCATCTGAAACAGTGAAATAATTTTTCAGAACATCTTTACTTATTCCATACTCAGATTCTATTATTCCTTCACTAAAAATCGATTTTCTTTAACAAACAACAAAGCAGTTTCGCTTATGCAGCTTCATCCAGAAAATATAAGAAAAGTAGGTCATCAAAATTTTTATCGATAGTAGAAGATATACAGAACATTTACGGAAGTCTACTCCATAATTTTATTGGTACGAAGTAATGAATATGTTGTTGAATAGATGTGATTGATCAAGTCACTTCGTTTAACCCAGCGGTATGTGACAATTTTGGCGATTAGCATGACCTTTAAGAGACAAAGTACACTCATTGGATAATATTGTTATCGAACATGTCGTCATTTGCTAAAATTAGTTCTATCAAAATCGTCTTCCATGAACTACCGAGTAGGTATCATTTTATAGGGATGCATTGTATTTTCTTTTAATATTTTAACTATCGGTCTATGACCAACATTGAATGTAGTGGTTGCCTGTCTACTCGATGTATGTGGGTTTTCCTCAAACTCAAGCATCACATCTAGTTTGAGTTCATCACTCATTGCATTGGCAGCTGCTTTTTTTTTATCAGCCCCACATGCCTTTCTGTTTAAATCTGTTTAAAATCTGTTTTTCCGTTAATCAGCTGCCGCCCCCATACGAACGACAACTCTCAGAAGTTGAGAAACTTGTGCGAGCTAAGGACTAACGAGGGAGGATGACTTTGAGGGACATCATCTAAAAAGAACATTGCTATGGTTTTTGCTTACTTTCTTATTATCAATACCTCAACATGAAATAAGTTTTGAGTATATTGCAATAAGTTTTGAGTGTATTTTATCGAATTTCGGTAACCACATGATTTTAATTTATTTTATCTTAATTACTGCAATAAACTTGAAAGCGATAACATTTTTGAATAGAGACTGAATAGATTTTTCAAACGATATATCACAAGCTCATACTTCCTATTTAAAAAATTAGGGGTTGTACCTGTCATTCGTCGGGGGTTGAAGATATGGGTAGCATTTTTCCATTGAAGTATGTTAAATTATAAATTAAATTTGACGTATTTCGGGATTTTGTAACCGAAATAATTTACACCCCGCTGCTGGCGCCCATGATTGTAATTGTTTAATTAATCTAACTGTTTTACAAGAATTAATCATTCATTTATATTGGAAGAGTATATTTCTTTACCAAATTATCACTTATCTAATTGAATCTTGTAATTACCTACTGTTATAAATATATATGTGTATGATATTGTAGAACAGTTTAATGTACTGATGAAGTTACCGTGTAGCAAAACGCGTCTTTCATTAAAAAATTATAATAAAAATATAGCCCCCGGACTTTTTATGATAACCACCGATCTAGAAATAACTGATTAATCATCTAACTCTCAACTGTTATCAAAAAGTTATTTCTAGGATGGAAAGATATAGAAATAAGAAAAGTGAAGTAATTAAAATTATTTTATTTCAGCATCAATCCATAATGTCTGACGATTCGGAGGATATTGGAAAAAAAATTAACAATCTCAATTTGACAGATAAAAAGGATATCAACATTTTACTCTTAGGAGAAACAGGAGTGGGAAAGTCGACATTTATAAACTCTGTTGCTAACTATTTGACTTACAATGATCTTAAAACAGCAAAAAAGGAGAATTTAATTGTACTAATTCCTACAGAATTCAGTATGAAAGATAAGAACGGAGAATTTCATATTATCAGTATTGGAGATAAAGATAATAATGAATATTTGGATACTGGTGTTTCAGCAACTCAGGATGTGAAAACGTATGTTTTTCCCATATGGAATGGACGAGCCAAAGTACGCCTCATTGATACTCCTGGAATGGGAGATACTAGAGGAATAACTCAAGATAATATTAATTCTGAAAATATACTATCATATATAGGACAACTTCACGAACTTCATGCGATATGTTTCCTTTTCAAACCTAACCAATCGCGAAACACTGTATTTTTTAGATATTGTATGTCTCAAATTTTATCTCGGTTGGATAAATCAGCAAGTAAAAATATTATATTTGGTTTTACCAACACCAGGGGTTCAGATTATGGACCTGGAGAAACCATTAATCTCCTGAAGAGGGAAGTTGAATCAATTCGTGAAAAACAGGATCAAGCCGAAATTCCAATCAATAGAAATGTATTCTGTTTTGATAATGAGGCATTCAGATATCTAGCAGCAATGAAACAAAATGTTGAATTTGATGAGTCTATTAAGCAAAGAAATAAAGAGAGCTGGAAAAATTCATCAGAACAATGCTGGAAGTGAGTTCTCTATTTTTTATTATTAGATTTTTAAACATATTTTCACTATTACCTATTACTTGCGTATTACTAGGTATACACCGGTCAACGAGTACCTTACAGGTCAAACTTGCAAAAATTGCAAAAGTTAGAATTAATTGAAAAAATGTCTAATTAATTTTTAGTTTGTTTATATGCTTATACTAATAAACTTGAGGAAATTTTTCTTGTTAACTTATGTTCATAATTCATAAAATAATATATTTGAAGTAAAATTGATAAGTTGAAATTATCAAATAATATACGCCAGATGAAAAGTTATATGGGTTATATAGTTATATTTATTGTGGTTTATAAGATATTTGAACATAAAATTGAAAAAAAATGAAGTTTTTTATTATAAACGAATGCTATAAATGAAAATCAGTCTGTCAGTCATTAGGTCATTAGAAACGATTGCTTTGTCGTTGTGTTATTGTGATATTATAAATAAAGTGTGTTTCACAATCCCAAAATCCTGATCAATTATTATATTCAACTCTGCATTATCCCATATTCAATAAGTTGAAATAATATTTTTTTCATTGAAGGTCCAAAGTGGAACGTGTTTTCCACAAGCCAGAGTACCCATTTTAGGACGTATTTTCAACCCTCTGGGGAAAATTATAAATATTGGTCCTACAGTTCCGGGAGGAAAGACTTTTTTTGTGAAATTCCCTCCTCTTTTTGAATCTTTTTTTCAAATTTGAAAAATGTCAAATAGTATTTAAGATATTTGCAAAAAACCAAACCTCATTTTTTTCATTTAATATTGTTTATAACTTTTCCAATTTTTGCAATCGGCACTTGAATGTTTTCAAAAATAATTTACCTACACGCTATTCCGAATCGAATGACATCTCGTTCACATTTTTCGGAGGCGGAGAAAAAAAGTTTGACCTTAAAGGAACTTGTTGACGTGACTAGGTAAATAATGCAATGTTTATTTTAGACTGATTAACTACATCGTGGGTGATCCTAAAAATCCTCCCCTGAAACCGCATCATGTGAAAAGTACGAGCGCAATAAATGAAGCTCGAAGGATGATTCAACAGTTAGCTCAACCTTTGGCAGAGATTTCTCAATTGATAAACAGCAATGTTCAAGCTCTAGAACGACATAAAGCCAACATGCAATTGGATAATCAATCACTGGAAGAATTGAGAAGTAAACTATATATGCCTGTAATTTCCTTGGAAGTTATTAAGCTTACCCAACCTGTTACAGTCTGTACTGCTAGAAAGTGTGCAGACATCTATAAGGTATGCCAATACTTATTGACTATTTTTAGATTCCTCCAATCACAATTTTATTGATACTTCTGCAAAAAATGACTTGCTAAGTATGCTGCTCTAAACACAAGAGAACATCTTTCCATATGAATAAATATTGATCTGGTTTTTCTATGTAAGCTAGATATTTTTTGACACCAACATATCCATAATCAGGTTACCTACTATAATGATATATTTATATTTCTTTCTCATCTGGAGAATAACAGCAGACTCAGTGATTGGTTTTTGGAAGGTCACCAGTGACTATAAAGGATTATCTCTACGAATGGGTACTTTGATTGTTGAAGTTTCTACAATCTGAATTTCATTAGTTCTGATTTCCATTGTCTAATATGATATAATTTGAAATCTCTGGAAAAACAAATGAAAAGTAAAATTAAAAAGAATAGCTGAAAATAACAATTATATTAAGCAAAAAACCCTGAAATAAAATTTCATTCACAACAATAGTGAAATCGACTAAGTGTTATCCCAAAATCTCTAATAAACATAAAAATTCCATTTATTAAAGAATTGAAATGAAATGAAAATTAAAAAATTTCAAGCCAAGTTGCTTCACGTTTCGATTGTTAGTATCCACAATCGTCTTCAGGTCATGACTGGACTTATTTCTTCGAGAGATGGCTATTTATAGGACATTCGAGTGCTTTCACCTATCCGCTTCACCTGTTTAGCGGAAGATGGATGGTCGTTTGGCGGGAGTTGCGTATCTCTACGCTTGCTTGGCTGAATGCGTCGTTGGACAACATGTATGCAGCTTCTTTGAGATTTCTCCTAAACCAGTGTTCCTCCCTGTGGATGATCTCAGCTTGCGACCACTTGATGTTGTGTTGATGGGTCCAAACATGCTCTGCTATTCCCGATTTGCTGATTTCTTCTCGCTGTGTGTGTTTAGACCCCTCAACATAGCATCGAGTGGTCCCAAGCTGAGATCATCCACAGGGAGGAACACTGGTTTAGAAGAAAATTCAAAGAAGCTGCATACATGTTGTTCTACGACGCAGTCAGCCAAGCTAGCATAGAGATACGCAACAAATGAAAACCCATAATAAAGCGGAAAACGGTCAACTCTCTCCATTCGGCCATCTCCCGCTACACTGGTGAAGCGGTTAGAGGGAAGAGGGGATATGTGAAAGCACTCGAATGATCTACAAATAATCATCTCTCGGAGGAATAAGTCCAGTCATCACCAGAAGACGATTGTTGATACTAACAATCGAAAAAGTCGTGAAGTAGCTTGATTTGCTATTTCAAAGATTTCATATCATATCACATTAGACAATGAAAGTCCGAATTAATGAAATTCACCATGAACCATTGTCAACCACCTTCAAGCAAACGTTGCTATAACCTGTTAGAGAGAATGACTTTATATAATAGGGGAGCCCAAGCGGGGATTTCGGGATTCACTAAAGCGCGGCAGATTAATATACAGGGGCGCCGATAGTCATCTTCACCTTTTTCAGGTTGAAAACTTTTCCCTTACCCTTTCAACTATATACAGGGGGATACCTTGTACCCGGTTAAGTACCTCCACCAAATATGAGCCCCATATATAAGGCCGCCTGTGAGGGATAAATGATCAGATTAGTAAAAAAAAATTGATCATCAGAAATTCTCGAGCGCGTCAGATTGAGGTAGGGTGAGTTAATTACCTGCTAAAAAGTGTATATTCCAGTAATCTGACAATTTGATAGTGACGTGAAGAAAGGAGAGGGCAACAAAGTTGAAAAAAATAACGTCATTTCGACATTCTCGAGCGTAGCTAATTTTTTTTATTTTGAAGGAAATAATTTAAGGATAACGAAAAATATATAATCTGACGATTTCCGCAAGCCGAAATAACAAAAATTCGTCGATGAAGTTTAATGCGTGCAGCTGTGTGATACCTATATTTCCCTCTCCGAGTTTCTATTCCTCTATTCTCTATTCACTTTTTCTCTATCTATTACTCTCTCACTCCGTCCCACTCTGAATTCTGTTGCCATGACGCCATCACAGCTGATCACAGATACTCGTTCGTGATGAAGATGATGATTAATGAATCAATTAATTGATGGATGTAGCGTTACTACGTGGTAGGAAATCATAATGAAGGAAAGAGAAATTAAAAGTTTGAAAATGTCTTTATAGGACGAAACTGCAGTAACGTTAGTTACAAATAAAAGTGGTAAAAAACATAGAAAGTTTCATTTTTCTTTTCTTCATTAATTATTCAATTGATTATAAAAAATTAAATTTTTTTGAGCATTTTTGAAAAATTATTTTATAAATACAAGTATTCTACTTGAAAAACATACACTTATTTATTTGCATGCTATTTCCTGAGCTTTTCAATTAATTATATATATCTTAATCTGACGCGCTAGAGTATTTCAAAATGGCGAATTTTTTTTTGCACATTATAATAATGGCCGCGAGTTTGCGTCAGATCGAAATCGTCAGATTGAAATCGTCAGATTATTGAATGAGTGCTTTTTTTGTTGCACTTAACACCCCCTTAGAGAATCTGACGCGCTAAAATAATTTTTTTTTCTTTTCACTTTTAACCTTTACGTACAACCACCCACATCATGCAAACGATCAGATTAACATACCAACATTATTAAAAATACGTAGGACATTGATGTCCTACGCACTCGAGTATGTCCATGTAACAGTATTTTTTTACATATTTAAAAATCTATAGCCGCTTCCCCCACCGATGAAAAGGTATATAACATTTTTTTCTTCTTATCATCTACTCTTTGCAACCTAATATGTCTCAATTACGCTCGAGTAAATCCCCATTTTGCATCGTCGGCTCCCCTGCTAATATAATGAAATTTATATTAACCTGGTCATCAGTATTAGGAGAAAGTATGTTAGGGTTTTCTCAGAACTTATGGAAATAACCTACCATGAGCATGACAGAAGAAAAAAACATATCAATCTTCGAAAAATATGCTCAAATATCCAAAATTTTGGTCGTTTAGGTTAGTTGCTTCCGGCACTACTTATACATTCAGCAAAGAAGTATACCTCCTTGACAATGCCCCAGCTGGGCACTCAGGTTAAGAAATGAATTTTTAACTCCCAATCCTGTAAACTTCATATTTAGATATCTTGAAATTTCATTGTTCAATTCGTATATAGGCCCTGTATGCTTCACGTCATTCCATTTCTAAATATACTCTCCCACCCAATAAACAACTTTGCAGGTGCTCCATATTCCCCGTCATATAAAATTCTGCAGTCATTATCTTTCAAATAGACCAAGCAAAACTATTAATGTATTATCATATAATATATTAACTATACCTGTTGCTGCAGAGGCTGATGAACAACACCTGAATACTTATTGTTTATAGTGTGTCACTGATAGCAAAACCTTTCTCATGGTTTGAGCACGTTGAAAGTATTTTCAAAATTAACATTCATTTTTTTCTTTAATTGACTTACTAGAATAATTAGGGGTGGAGACAATAACCAGGAGCTTTTAAATATTATTGAACAATGTGCACAAAATTGGAATGCCACAACTGAATTTCTTTTACAACAAAAACTGAAGAATCTCAACTGAATTCTCAGGCGATTTGACCGATCGGCCTATTTTCATCAATGAGTTTAGAAGATCTACAGACCAGCTTGGGTTATGTGATGAGGACAATTTAATTCTTTTGGACCGGGCATTGTAGGGTGAAACAAAAGAAACAGTCGAAGCTTTTCTTATTTCCCCAAGAAACGATTCCAAAATGTTTAACACGCTAGAAATGATTTTCAGTGGGCATACTTGAAGACTGGCTGCAAATCCAATTAACTAAAAGAACAATTTGTTCAGGCTAGTCTCGACTTATCTTCACTGTAGGTTAATGGACTGACGCCTATTTAAAAACAACTATTCTCCTGGCTAATACCACGAAGGGCGGTGGATTATATCCAGGTGTCAGTGCAGAAATCTTCACAGAAGTATTTTCTGCATATGCTGTTGGATATAATCATACGCCCTTCGTGGTATTAGCCAGGGGAATAGTTGTTTTTTGATAGGTGTCAGTTCATTAACCGACACTGTAGGTAAGTCGAGACTGGCCTGAACAAATTGTTCTTTTAATTAATTAGAATTCGAAATATTATTGTTCATAAAGAGGCATATATCGAAATGGTGGATAAGTAATTCGAATGAAGTAATGGAGTCGATTCTAGATACCTTGCGTGTTAATTCTCAAATAGATTCAAAATTGGTCTCAAAAATGTTGGAAAGAGTTTTGGGCATATCTTAGTCTCCTACGACTGACGATTTTGTGTTTATATTGAACCTGAAGAAAATTCCTGATGAAATATGCGATGCAGAGGAAGTACCAACTAAAAGGAAAATACTGTGCACGGTTATGTCAGTATTTGACACGATTGGTTTCTTGCTCCTCTCATGATAAATGCTAGAATTCTGATTCAAAATATATGGAGAAGTCACATTGATTGGAATCAAGCTATAACAGAAGAACTTTTCTACATCTGGATGAAATGGTTGTACCGATTTAAAACATTTTACTCCTGTCACTATCAATAGATACTACTTCTCTAATTCTACATTAATATTAACATTTGCATTTATTTTCTGATGCAAATGATAAGGCATATGCAGCAGTCACCTTTTTGGTGATGGTTGAAGATGGCGTAGTTCAACATTTAAAATTGCTCCAATGAATCAACAAACCATGGCAAAATTGGAGTAAGAGGGTGCTTGCATGTAGAATGGCAAAATTCATACGGAAGGAACTGGACAATGAAATTGACAAAGTTTGCTTCTGGACTGACTCAATGGTTGTTATTCAACAAATCAGGTCTGAATCAAGAAGTTTCCTGATTTTCGTAGCTTGTCGACTTAGAGAAATTCACGAAGACACTGATTTGTCGCAAGAGCATTGAGCAGATCGAGCGACAAAGGAAAGGAAATATATCGACTTGTTGCTAGAAGGTGAGTGGTTTTCTGGACTACATTTTCTGAAATTGCCTGAAACTGATTGGCCAGAAGTACCACGTTGCTCCAATGACTATAATCTGATACTACTCTTAGAGACATTAATGATAGTGTAATTCCCCAATATATCCAGATTCTCGAAATTCAATTGATTCATCCAATCTACTGCTTGGTTTTTTCATTTCAAAAAAGTTGTCAAGATTACAAAAGTGTCTAGACCACCCAACTTGATTTTATGTGGAGAAGAAATTTCCATTTTGAAAAGAAAGGTGTTTCTTCCAAAGTCCAGTCGCTTTTATGGATTATTTGCCTTCTTGGACGAAGATTTTATATTATACCCGGGTGGTAGGATTCCAGATACAGAAGAATTTGATATACCATTTGAATCGCAAAACCCTATCCAAAGAACAAATTTACAGAGCTCCTTATAGATGAATATCATCAATAATCTAAACACATAGGGTTGGAGACAGTGGCCAAAAATCTTCGCTCCAACTTTTGGATATAAACATACAAGCAGCTGTGAAGAAGAGCTTTAAAAAGTGCCAAGCATGTCAGGAGTTGATATATTCACCTGGCTAAGTCTGCTCGTTGGTGGAGAATGTTACTTATTGTATTTGTATCCCAAAATGATTCACTATCCAGGTAATGTTGATATGAAACTTGAGAATTTTTTGTTGCAATATAGAAATATTCCAACCTCATCCACTGGAATCGCACTGTAAATACTTCCTTCAAATAGGGATTGAAGTAAAAACTGAATTTATTGAAACCACATGTGGAAGAGCTAAGAAAAAGAAAAATGAAGATAGACAAGTTTTACCTGGTCGACTGGTACAAATATTAGATTATAGAAAAATATCAAAATGAGAATTTTGCAGACTAATCAGACAATAAAGTTCTCGACACTGTATGATTGATGTTAATGGTCGACTATTATAGAGGAAGGATCAATTATGAAATATCTAGGTTGTTTACAGAGGAAGAAGATGAATATGCCTATCGAAATTTCGAAATCATCAATGATGGAAATTCCTGATGAAGAAGTGATTAGTAGAGAACCAGAAGAGGCAGAATCCTCTAGATTCTAGATTAATTCAAAATAAAAACCACTCCCTTGAATTACAAGGAAAAATACATAATATCAATCACAATATCGTTCATCATTGGCAGTGAACTGTTATTAGAATATTATAATGAATGCTTTATTTTGTACTATACATAAATAAATTAATGTAAAACCAAATGTAGATATCTATTTTCCTGAAAACTGAAAACTTTTTCTGGGTCACGATAGCATGGCTTTTGTGCTTTTGATACCAATACTTTTTCTTCCATACTATGTTACATATATTTTTTAAATTGTGACACATTTTAATGTTGCAATGTGATATTTTTAGGTAGGAAGTGAAAATAAATGGCATTATAAACAGCGTTGTCATGATCCTTGTTTTTTGAGCAATGTCCCAAAGGAGATTATCGGTACTCCCGAATTGATACACTGCGCAGCCATGGATGGAACATCAAATTGCATCAAATGTGGATGTGATTTTAAAATACACATGCATGTCTATTATATGACAAAAACCATAGAGGTGCGTGAAGTTGATCCTAACGTCGAGAAAAATATAAACAGTAAAGAAGCTATCATGAATAACATGAGGAAAGTCATGGGAAGTATCATTGACAGAAAAGAAGAGCTTGATAATGAACATCATACTATTGTTAAAATTTGCGCCAGATTCGCACATTTTCTTCAGAATAATGCCATAACACCATTTAGTGATTCTTACAAGGAATATATCGAGTACTTGATAAACAGGTATGTTTGAAAATATATCAATAAGAAACCACTTATATATCACAGAACAGGTTTTTTTCCGTTTGGGTATATGGGGATGGTGAAAATAGTGTATTTTCATTTCATCTTCATAAGTTTACCGAACAACACTTTTTCTATACAAGGGTAAACAGACCTCGGGATCACTTTTTTCTCGGTTTTTTTCATATGGAACACCCTGTACATGAGGCCATCCCAGAATATTCCACACTATGAGCTTTCAGGAAATGTAGGGATTGACTAATTTATTTTCATAAAAAATATATCTATTTCTTAAGGAAAAATTGGAAGTGTCATCAATTAAATCTATCTTAGTTTTCTCTTCAGACTTCAATCACTGTTTATCTTGCAATAGTTCAAAAATCTTCTTTGAATCAATCTATTTTCCTTCTGATTTCGTTGGTTTCTTGCAGAAGGCTAATCCCTTAGCAAGATAATAGAAATCTAAGGAAATTAAGTCTGGGGACATTACTGCCACTGCAGAAATTTATTAGTTGCAATTCTAAACAGCCCATACAATCATCGATAATTTTTATTGTCTTTTTCCACGTTTTGTTTACACCTTGTGCTTTACATTCTCTCTGTTTTCATCTATTTTGAAAAATCGTGAATCGAATATTCATCATATAAGTATATCAAACTGCATATTATTCTACTGGCTGAGAGCAGATTTATGTAACATCTACTCGGAATGTAGATCAATTCAGTTATATCAAATCACCCTTGGAATATTTGAATGTTATATGAAGTGTCAACAAATTTGACATAAAATTATTGAGCAGGTGAATTTATAATTCAAATCTAATTTTTTTTTCTCCTCGAAATGAACTTGTCTACCGAAGACATGATAATATGATCTTCATTTTGAGGTAGTGTCAAGCATAACATGAAGCAATGAAGAAAATGGATCGGTGATGATGTTTTCAACAGTTGAAAATTGCAAGAGAGTTGGATATAAGTCATACTTTCGTATTTTCTGACGAGTCCACATTTTAAAGTAATGGCATGGTAAATAGACATAATATGCACTACTACTCCACAGAGTACCCATATTGGATGAGAGAAGTCGATAACTAAAACAGATGGTCAATAAATGTTTGGGAGGTCATAATTGGATATTAGATTTCCTCCTAAATGATTTATGAAATTTGTTAAAGGAGAACTCTATCTAGAGAAACCAATGACACCAGAAGATGTGAAGAATAGGAGTTTTGGTCTATTATAAGATTACCTTCAATTGAAGTTTGAATAGAAATTGTTGGTAGAGCACAAATTGTAAGATTGTTCGTATATCTATTGTAAATTTGTGCATTTTAAAATTGTTTGTTTTCATTTTGTTTTTTGTTCTGTCCAGCACTGAATAAAAAATAGTTATTGCTTCTATTCAATGACTTTTTCATATTTTCCTCAAGAGTTGGATACATTTCCGGTGGAAATAAAGTAGTCAATCCCTACATTCTCTGAAAGCTCATAGACTTTTCTGGGATGGCATTTGAAAAACTAAAAAAAGTGATCCCGAGTTTTGTTAATCCCTGTATAGAAAAGGCGTTGTTCAATAACCTTATGAAGACGAAATGAAAATACATGATCGTCAAGGATATTTGTTTGAAAATTTTTCTCATTCCAATTGATCGAGTAGGAGATATTTGGTGTTGAATGAACCCATGTTTTAACATGAATTTCACTATAACTTCCGAACCACCCGATATAAATCCAAACAACCCTATATTTTTGAGAAACAATCTGCCCAAGAAATCCAATCGAGTGACAATTTCTGGGTATAATCTCTACAACTTTTCCTGAAATATTTTTTTGTATTTCTGATAGGGAAGGAAGCGGCTATCATCTACCCTCCTATTGTTGATACATTAATACAAGCCGTTTTTAAAGTTATGTTCAAACTATGTATTTTCGTTAACCAGCTGTTGTATCCCTATGAACGACAACCCTCAGAAGTCGAAACTTGTGCGAGCTAAGGACTAACGAGGTCTTACCTTTTAACGTGTGATTCCTAACACGGGTTGGACGATAGCAAGTGAAAATCGATCGTTCAGCCTGCGGCTTGAACCATCAACTCACACATCGCATCGGTCGATTGACTGAGTGAACAAAACACCCACGTCAAACCGCCCAACTACCGACGTTCCCACTATTGTTATCTCGGAAACGGTATGACCTACAAGGTCGGTTAAATTGGACAAGAGTTTCATGTTTTATGGAACTAGAGTAATCTGTTTACAATACAGGCGTTTCCCGACGTTTTTCTCATCAGCAATGTATGGGCATGTAATTTCCTGTCAGAGCTTCCTCAAAACAGTAGGAACCAATATTATTTGGGTCTCAACTTAAAGCTATATATAAATAAACTCCTCATATCGGAATAACATGTAATATACCAAATAAAAAACAGAAACATTCAATGCCAAAATAATCCTAACCATCTACGTCGTTCACGATATCTCATTAAATACTCAAATTGCCGTTCTTTGTTTCTTAAACACATATTCGCTTTTGTAATAGTATTTTTTATGGCAATTTTCCAGTATTCGTGGAGCTGTAACCCTGAAAGCCCTTCTTATAAAAGTCCAGAAGGGTCAGATCAGATGAACGTGGTGGCCTTTTAAATAGGACTAATGTTTCCTATACATCGTCCTGTATTGAGAAAATATCTGAAAATATCTGCAATAGTTCTGCGATGTGGCGGAGCTCTATCGTGTTGGAAATACTCACATTTTCTCAGAATATTGAAAGGCAATCTTCACCTAGAGTCTACGATGAGAATTTCAAATATAATTCCCCCATCAAAGGTGTCTCATAATAGTAGGGACCTATAATCTTGGTGTCTAGCATACCAAGTCAAACATTATCTCTCATGGAAATTTGTAGCTCTATGTAGAATGGAATTTTCTTGTCACCAGTGATAATGAATATTTCTGTTGAACCAACCGTTATTTGTGAATCTACTCTTATCGCGCCATAAAATTATTACAGATTTCATTATCCTCACGATGTTGTCTGACTAGCCATCTATAAAATATTTTTCTCCTATCATAATCTGTTAAACTCAAATGGTATATTTTTCCGACTTTGTTAGGTCTGAATTCATTTCTTCGATAGTACTATGATGTAGGATATAACATTATGATGTGCAATCTCTCTCAATTATATGTATTGGTTTGTTCTCAATTTTTGGGTATTCCATAAATCCTGAATCGAATAAATGTCACTTCATTATTACTGAGAATGTTTTCTGATATTACCCAAAACGCCAATTTCAATATCAACAACTCTTTTAGTTACTATACAACTGGAATCATCATTCCGTACACTCCTCTCAATGCGTTGAAAATATCTTTTGGATGGCTGACGTCTCTCAGGGTACAATTCCCCAAACAAATCTAGAAATCCAGTAGTATTTCCCACACCCCTCGCGAACAAAAAAAGCATATCAACTTTCTTGTCATTTAAAAACTTCATGCTTGTTCTTTCACAAATTCACAGGAATCGATTATTTATTTACGTACTTGACAGCAAATTTGACAATTATACATTTTCTGTTAATTCATGTCTCACGTTGGAAAAAAATTGAAGTAACTCAACTTTTTTCCACTTGACATTCATTAAACTGCAATGATATTTATTAAACACGATATATTTTTATCTAGGGAGAAGTCTTTGGGCAAATTATGTGATGCTCAAACTGTGGAACATTTGCAAAAACTTCTTAGAGAATATGAAGAAACTAAAGCATCCTTTGAGGAAGCACTTAAGATGAATAAGAAGATTGGAAGAACTGATCAGATTGTATCTGCCAAGGATATCAGTGATAGCATTCAAGAGCTATATAAACTGAAACATAATGGTAAAAAAATAAAAGAATTGTATGAATGTCAAAAAAAGGCGAGGAATAAGGAACATGAAAATACTGAATATCTTCATAATATTTCATTCAAAGCTGAAGAAAAAAAAAGTAAAAAGCCAGATGATAAGACAGGGAAAGATAAACAAAGCACTGAAAATAGAAATAAAAGAATTAGTGATACAGACAATAGAAATAGACAGCAAAACAGTCAACCCAATAGAGGTGAGTTTGATACTTTTATTCAGATAAATAAAATAAATCATTGTCTAATATAATATAAATTGATTTGAAATTCCTGAAAAAATATTAAAGAGATCAACCTGAACTGATGAAATACATCACAAAACATTGTCAACCGCCTTCAAACAAACGGTAAAAAAAATCACTTTTTCACACTTACGCTGAAATAGTTATGAAAATAATCATAATAGTTTATTTGTCTTTCAGATCATAGTGATAATAGACATGTTGAAAAAACTAAATGTATACTTTGTATAATAGGAACACTATAACTACAGTTTGTATTGTTGTAAATCATGCCCGAAAGAAAATAAAGCCGGCCGCCACTGGTAACCATAAACCAAAACCAAACGTAACGTAGCTAAGATCGAGCGAATGCACAATGTTCCCTGCCGCTCTAGAATCAGCGAGAATGATGCTACCGATTTCGAAGGATCTTCGGCGAAATTTCTACGGCATTCGATTACGATATTTAAACGCTAGCCACGAGCATATCAATACAGTCAAGTGGACGTACAGCTTGAAGGAGTCGAAAAAAAATTTGAAGAGGTTTTCTGGAAACTTCGGAAAGGAAAAAGTCACGGAAACGCAGATAGTCTCTCAAGAAGACCATGCCTGACATCCAGGTGCAAATTTTGCCAACGCCAGGAGAACAAGGATACCCAGCTACCAGAAGAAGAATTTCCCACCAGATGATGAGGTAGCGGGCAGAGATTCCTTTATGGACAGCTCTAATAGGGAGATAAGCTCCCCTACCTTCCCTCTGACACGGAGGGTAGCAACCTGTAAGGGTCCCTTGTAAAGGGATACGGACAGACAATTTGAGGAATCACCTGACCACGGTGTGGTACGGTTGTTAACAGCCTCTGAGGATGACACTACCTTCCTGACGAGGCAAGACATCATAGTAGCGCAGAAGGAGGATCCCGTCTTGAAAACTGAACGAGAATGGTAAGAGATTTCCAAGCACGGTCAGCAGGAAAAGGGTTACTGGCTCCAATGGGACTCCATGAGCATTAGAGATGACCTACTCAGTCGGAAATGGAAAAGCCCAGATGGAAGAACCCACAAATTCCAGATGATCCTTTCTAAGACGTGTATCTCGAGTATCCTCGAACAGCTTCACGATGGTCCCACTGGAGAGCATTTCGAAGTAAATAGAACTCTAGCGGGAATGCGTGAGAGGTACTATTGGGTCAATTGTCTTGGAAGAGTGGTCTAAGCGCTGTGACCTGTGCTCTTCAAGAAAGGGTCCGAAGACAAGGCAGAGAGGATAGTTGAAGCAGTACCTCAGTGGGTGTCCTTTCGAGAGAATCACAATCGACATTTTGGGACCACTCCCTATGACCACATCCGGTAACAAGTACCTTACGGTTGTGATGGACTACTTTTCCAAATGGCCTGAAGTAGTAGCCTTACCCAACCAAGAGGCTAAAATGGTAGCAGAAGCCCTGTTGCAGAACGTAATCGCCAGACATGGAGTACCCCAAGAACTACACTCGGATCAGGGCCACAATTTCGAATTGGATTTATGGAAAGAAATGATGACTGTTGGGAATAAAGAAGACAAGAACAACTGCTCTTCACCCACAATCCGATGGAATAGTCGAGAGGCATAATCGCACCATCAATAACTACCTCTTGATGTTTGTCTTCGAAAACCAAAGAGACTGGAATAAATTCGTTCCTGGCCTGATGAAGTGCCCGTCACCGTACTTGAAAAGTGCTCAAATGAACTCGCACCAGTATTTTGCAGACTTTTCAACCTGTCTTACAAGAAAGGGATTTCTCCTTCGTGATGGAAGATTGCTCGCGTTCAGCCTATTCCAAAAAAGGGCAACAAAAATTTTCCAAATAACTATGAACCAGTCGCTTTGCTATCAGTTATATAAAAATCATGGAGAAAGTTGTAAATCACCATATCCTCAATATTTGGAAGGCTTCAACATCTTGAACGATCATCAATATGGCTTTCGGAAACAAAGGCGGCCTTCTATCGTATGTCACCATATTTGGAATAACACAATCGAAAAACATGGAGAGTCAAGAGCTGTTGCGCTTGATATTTCTAAGGCCTTTGACCGCGTGTGGCATGATGGTTTGCTGGCCAAACTTCGATGCTATGGCTTGTCGAATCATTTTTGTGTATGACTCTTCAGCTTCCTGGAAGAACCTTCCCTGCAAGTGGCCGTCGATGGATATCTCTCGAATAGTTTCACCATCAACGCTGGTGTTCCCCAGGGATCCATGTAGCCTCCAACCTTCTTTTTCTTGTATATTAACGAATTATTGGAAAAAACCAAGAATCCAGTATATTGCTTTGCTGACGACAGCACACTTGTCTCGTCATTCCATTTTGATTCCAAGACATCGGCTACGGAGGCACATCTTCACCGGCAGCAGGAGGTTGCATATCTTAATGAGGATCTAGAAGTGATTTCGGATTGGAGGGAAAGTAACCAGATTCAATTCAATGCCACAATAACCAAGGCATTGGATTTCTCCAAGATAAATGTCTCCGAGCCGGATATAATAATGTCAGGTCAGACACTTCCGCTTTCTGCTTCGAAAAGTTTGTTGTGGGTTAAAATGGACATCAATATGTCATGGCACAATCATGTCGCTGGAATTGCAAAGGCTGCTTCTCAAAAGCTTGGAACACTGTTCCGAACTAGAAAACTGTACACACCTCAGCAACTTTTGATGCTTTATAAAACTCAGATCAGACTTTCTTTGGAGTATTGTTCTCATATATGGAGCTCTGGATTTCGTCCAGAAAACAGCCATTCGCCTGATTGGAGACGTGAATATTACGTGCAACCTTGCTAGCCTGAAACATCAAAGAAAGGTTGGAGATTTGTCTCCCTTCTATATATAATTTCATGGGAAGTGTTCAAGTGACTTGCTTATTTGATTCCACCAAGAGCGGTACATATCAGAAATACGCGACGGACTGTGGCTGCTCATTGTTTTGAGGTTCGACTCCGTACACCTCGAACTTCACTGTTTAAGAACTCTTTCATTTGGAGAACTGCGTTTATGTGGAATAAACTTCCTGAGAACGTTTTTCCAAATGGATTTAATCTCCAGCGATTCAAATCCATTGTGAGTGGTACATATCAGAAATATGCGACGGACTGTGGCTGCTGATCGTTTTGAGGTTCAACTCAGTACACTTCGAACTTTACTGTTTGAGAACTTTTTCATCTGGAGAACTGCGTTTATGTGGAATACAGTTCCCGAGAACGTTTTCCCAAATGGATTTAATCTCCAGCGATTCAGATCCATTGTGAATCGCTACTTTAGCACAGGCACCGCTTTGAGAGCGTCTTAAGGATTTTCCTGTAATGCTTGTTTTTTGTCCTTAAAAAAAATCTAACACCTCGACATGTGTTTCGATCAAGTGATCATCTTCAAGAGGATACACTAATTAAAACAAATATACAACCATTACATGAATTATCATAGTTGTTAGTCACGATATATAACACAAAATACAAATATAAAATACACATAACAAAATGCGTTTGAATAGTACTTGAAATCTTTGAAAGGTGGAGAAATATTGAAACTGTTCAGATGTTCAAAATTACATATGAAAACTTGAGTTCTTTCACTCAATAAGTGACCCTTTAACTTTCTTTTGAACAATGCAAGAGAGTCACATCCTTTAATATTTTTTCCAAAGCATTAAAAGCCAACTTTTCTGAACGATCAATGGATTTTCAGTATTTTTTACTTTCAACTCCTACATATATACTATTATGAGTTCTTTCTTGTATTGTAATGATGAATTTTGTTCTTTCCGTCAGTGACAGCAAAGGTTTGAGTATTTTCCACCATTACAATTATCTATTTTCTTCTTGTAAAATAATGCAGTTTGTTCTCAAGTAACTCTCACTGCATAGTTTCTTTCTTGTTTGTAGTTTTTTTGTCCCCAAACTGTTTTGATTTCATATAAGTAGAGTTTGTAATTATTATCACTGGATATTAGTGCATTTCTGACTATCATTCCATCATTCTTCATATTTCGGTTGAATTTTTTTTCTGTTTTGGAGCTACTTCATTTAAACATTTTTTCATAAGATCTGTCAGATACCAGCATTTCTTATCTATATAATAATAATGTCTTTATTCTGGTCAATCTGAAAAATTCGTATTGAAATCACCCACAATCAGAACCAACAATGTATATCTAACAAAGAAGTAGTCTACTACTTTTTTAAACAATTGTTTTTTTAAGAAAAATGATTCTGTTACCCAACACAAGAAAAAAATCAAATTAAAAAAAACAATTGGTTTTTTAAGAAAAATTTCTTCACTTACACTCTAGTCATTTGATATCCGTCAATAAAGATTTCGTTGTTTCCAATGTCATTAGTTAACCTCACTTCACCTAAACACGCCCCTATGGAATTGTATTTGGTTATTAAGGCATGAATTTCATCAAATTTGGGCAATTAGTTTTGCACATTCATAACTATAATTAGTCCTGTGTTTCCAAAAGACTTCTCCTTCGTCATATACTCTGTTCCAAACAAAGAAGCATCATTCGATTTTTCAATTCTGTCATTAGAGAAATATTGCAATGCTGCTCAGTTATAGTGTTTCGCTAAGGTCTTCTTTTGGTTCCTTAACGTTTTGAGTTTCAATCAATGTTGTATAATGGTCTGGCAGGGTCTGAGGTGACATCTTTGTTGTGGAAATATAGTATTTTTTGTTCTTCAATTGAAAGTTGACCATATAAAATGTATGGTCAGTGAATTGAAACATGATGCTTGAAGAAAAACTGAAAGTTGAATTTTATTATATTTTCTTAAAATAAATTTTCATTTTTTTTAATATAAATTTCAGGTAATGCGTCCTCTAGAAGAAATGATTTTCAGAGATATCCTTCTCGTGATGCTCCCCCAGCATATCACGAAGTTAATCAACGACAGCATCATTATTCTCCCCCCCAAGCTGCTGGACCTCACCCTAATGGATATTATCCCCCCTATCAAATGGGTTATTCTTATGGGCCTCCACCAAATGCTTATGGTCCTCCACCAAATGCTTATGGTCCTCCACCAGCCGGAAATGCTTATGGGCCTCCACCAATCACTGGACCCTATGGCGCACATCAAGGTCATTTTCCTGGAGCTGATCCTTACAAGTATGGACACGATTACCAATGTGAGTATCAAACAACTTACATTTCATTTTGTAAAAAAATCTCTAGAGGTATTTTATTCATATGCCTTCTGCAAAGTTTTGCATGTGTGATGCTTTGTATATAACTATTTTTCTTTCATAATTTCAATAAGAGTACAGTGGTATACATTTTTAATTTTTTTTTCTAAACATGGCTTTTTTTTAGTATGGTTCACCCACTAATTATATACTTTAGTCAAAGATTATATAACATGGATTTGTTTGTGGTTTGGTAAAAAATTATCTAATTTTATTAGCAGACCATCAATTGTTAGATTAATTCATACATAATTTTATCGAGTGGGTATGATATAAAAATCAAAAATGAAACAATACAAAAATAATTAAAAAAAAAATGTATAAAAACACAAATGTGTTTTTATAATAATATAAAATATGATTAAAAGGTATCGTCATAAAATTCTTGCAAAGTATAATAGGGCCTCTCGATAAGAAAATCCTTTGTTGATTTTCGAAATTCAGTACAGTTTACTACGCATTTCAGGTAGTTAGGAAGATGATTATACATCTTGATACCATTATACAATATAGAATTTTTAATAAAAGTAGTGTTAGGTATAGGAAGACTTAAATTTAGGATCTGGCGTGTGGTGTAATGAGAGACAATCGAGGGAAGTTCTGTTCTATATTTACGAACTAAACAAACTGTTTCTAAAATGAATAGAGCATACAGTGATAAAATTTTATTTGCTACAAACAAAGGCCTACAAGAATCGCGTCGCCTGGCTCTACAGAGAAATCTTAATGACCTTTTCTGCAGATTAAAAATCGACTCGAGTCGAGTTTGATTACTTACCCCCCAGAAAAGGATCCCATATCTTAGATTTAAATAATAGACAGTTTTAGCTGCAGTTAGTCCTAGTTTGTTAGAATTTATTTTCACAGCATAACATCCAGATGAAAGTTTTTTGTTAAGTGATATTATGTGGTCCTCAAATTTCAACTTATTATCAATTAATAACTCAAGAAATTTGTTGCATGACGTGTTCTCAATCACATTCGAATTCGAAGCTAGAGAATTATTGTCAAGAATGCAATTAAATGGTAATGAGTTGCATTTTGTATTTCTACCACTGAACAACAAATGTAACAAAATCGGTCCTCGGACTTGTATCAAAACTGATTGATTTTAGCTTGTTTTATTTATGGGAAAGAAAGGTTTTGGCTTTCTATGTCTTCATCTTTATGTTGTATTTATGGAATAATAGTAGCATTATCAAATGAAGTATGCAAAAAAAATTAAAAATCTGTGTGAACATCAATATAAATTGGTTAAGGCTTTCGCGGCCGAGATTTTCAGTGTTACTATCTTCATTCGGGTTTGAAGGACTTCATAGTTTGGAACTGCGTCTTAACGTTTTGCCAGCACGAGTGGCTGGCTTCTTCAGAGGTTTATTCATCTTGATGATTTATTGATGACTGGTGATTTTTTGTTGGTAGGTTGTATTTATGTTGACTCAGGTAGTCCGAAGTGTTATTATCTGTTAATGTTAACTTCGGCCAATAGCAACGCATCAACAAGAGAGGAGGACCAGACTACGAACTAGAAATCACCAGTCATTGGTGAATCATCAAGATGAATAAACCTCCGAAGAAGCCAGCCACTCGTGTTGGCGAAACGTTAAGATGCAGTTCCAAAGTACGACTGCCTTCAAACCCGAATGAATATAGTAACACTGAACATCAATATAGTTAGGTAGTAAATCACAGAAACAAATTGTCATGTCTTATTTTTGTCTGGAGCAAATGCATTTGGCCACTTTGAAAGTACATGATGTAATTGTATTAATATAACTTTATTCTATTCTATTTTGAGAATTTCAATTGCTCATTTGAATATGAATTTTTCAACAGATCCCAGTGACCGTCGAGATGATCGTTTGGCTTATGACATTAACATAACTGTTAAGAAACCAGGTGACGATTCCAGAGGCCGACCAACTCTTGATCATTTTTCTTATCCACCACAAGATCCATACTATAGACCTTATGATCCCGCAGTTTCTGGACATTATGCAACTCCTCCAACTGGAACATATCAAAGCCCTCCAGGCAGAAACCCTGCTGGTTCTTCTGGATATGATCACCACCATGGTGTTCTTAATCACTCGTATGAAAGGTCTCGGGTCAATAATTCAAGAACTGGATATGATCAAGGCAGAGGCGGTAACAGAGGTAGAGGTGGTATAAATAAAAGAGCTAAAAAACGAAATAACAACAAAACAAATGCTGACCGCAATACATCGGATGATTCCGACAGTTAGATATATATAATAAAAATTTATTTGGAGACACACATTTCAGGTAATTATTTTTTATTCAGTTTGAAAGTGTGTCTCTCGCAGAGTATAATGAATACTTTTAATTTTGAGTCATAGAGTTATACTTTTATTTCAACAACTATCCCAGGAACTAGTTCAACAGTTACTACAGAATTATCTTTTAACTTTATGGACTATTGATTTAATAAGCTTGTTGAATTATTCCATTTTCTCGTATGTATTGTTTTTTTATTTGCCTTATATTGGAAATATTTTGAAGTTTCAATATTGAGTGAATATAAATATTTAATAAAACTGATTGCCAGGTGTTGCTCAATGACGATTCATACTTGAAACTCGATGTTGAAATGTCCTACTCTTTTACAAAGTGAATACTTTCGTGTCTTTGTTTGATGAGGTTTTAATTTTAGATAAATATAGATAAGTACTCATGTTGAAGGATTTTTTATGTTGGTATTGGAACATTTCATTTTAACAGATGAATTACAAATTTGCTCTGTGTTACAAACGTTGAGGCTATTCAGAAATCATTTCAAGATTGTTTTATTTCTATCAGATAAAAATACATTTATACAGGAAAAACTTAAACGAAAAATAAAAAACAAAAGAGCCCAATATACATACTAAAATCTATAACTAAAATATTTTACAATCGAGTAAGATTGTAACGGGATAGTAATGGGAATCAGGAGTGATCCTTAATGAAATATTGTTTATAAGTGATTTCATACAAATCATACTTCTGCAAAATATTTTTAAATGCAAATTATTGATATGTATTTCTCAAACTTGGGAGATACAAAATAATCATTGTAATAATGGTAAGAAGGTTTTTTAAGGTATTTTTGGAGTTCTGGAATGAATAATTATAATATTATTCATTTACAGTTTCACCATTCTATCTAGATTAGATTTATTATTTTAATCTTAGTGATATGAATAAGTATACATAATTATATGAAGAGAGAAATTTCTACTTTTCTGCAGTGTTTTGTTATCAAAACAAACTGTATAGGATGCATAACTTCCTATAATAACAGAATGGTGAAAATTTTGGTTTATGATAAGACTTTCACCAAAGAGAAAGGTAATCACTGCTTAGTTGATATAATTATGTGATGATGATTTTCGGGCATGCCCAGAAGTTATATCATAATAATTGTATGTGTATATTCTCTATATTATAATGATGGAATAGGAACGTAATAAACTTGAATATTCACTCTCCCACAACATATTAAAACATTTACAGGATTTCATGAAATATTTGTATTCAATCCTGTAAATCGTTTTCTCACATGATGGCCCAAGGAAAGGTTCATGTTGTTTTTGTTAATGGATAACAAAAGTAAAAGCAAAGTAGGGTTTTTGAAGTAACTGAAAAGTTGTAGATAGTTGATGCAGAAATTTTGGTACATCAGTTTTCTTTCAAAGGCAAATAAAAAATCAATAACAATATTATTTCATATCTGTTTTGTTTTGCTATTGATGTTATATGTTACCCATTATTGCCTTATATAATAAATGAATTAGTTTTCTAATTGTGAATTTTAATTTTGCCTTACTGGTTTAAGACTGCTTTACTTATTAAGTACAATTATTTATTAAGTGACTTCAAGCGGAAACCTTACACAAGAAATTTTGGTAAACATTTGAAAAAATGTGCAGGTTTTTGATAATCAGTTTAGATGCTAAGAGAAAAAATTCATATAAAATTTTTATGAGAATATAATTCAAATATTATACACATGCTTTCATATTATAAGTTATATGTATTTTTTCAGTGTGGGTCATTAAGTTTGCAAGAGATGTGATTATATTTTGAATTTATTGCACAATCAAAATTTAAATACTAACAAAAACTTTTGAATTGAAATATGAAATTTATTTTCGATTCTTATCATGCTTTAGGTGAACAAACCCCAACAAAACATACCAAATCTGTCAAGAATAGCCATGGAAAAAATAAGCCCTCAAAGAAATAACAATTTGACAGTTTGACTTTTTGTAACCAATAGGTTAAGCATTCTTATTTAATAAACCTGCCTCATTACGAACGCCTTATGTAGAGTTAACTCTACCTGAAAAGGCTGATTAAGTTTGATTTGTGGAGATATAATTAACGATGACATCCAGAAAAACAAAATCACTATTCAACCATCAATATAATTTCAAAACATTGAAAACAGACAAAATATTAGCAAACAGTTACAATAAGAGCACACGAAAAATGTATGAACAGAAGATAACCGGCTAGAAGTACTTCAAGACAGTTACTGAAAAACTTTTAAAGTTCCACAAAAGTTAATGAATATGTGGTTGTGAACATTTTTTCGTAAAGAATATTTTTAAAAATAAGTACCACTCATATACGCCAAAATTATTAGTACATCTCATGCTGAAAACTATTATTTAAGATTTTCCTTTATTAATCCAAGGATAAACTGAGAAAATGCATTATTTCCATCATCATGGTCTGTTTGACGAGTAATGCACATTCACTTCAGATGATTTTATAAATTGTGGCGGCAGTCAACAAAAACCCAAATTTTGTTATCGATAACAAAAAACAAATTTATAAAAAAATAAACATACTTGAAATTTTTGAAGAACGAATTAGAAAAGTAATATAGTATATACAGGCCAAACTGGTAAAAATTTTGATATAAGGTACCACAAACATGTCATTTCGGATAAAAAAATCATTAATGTATGAACATCTTCAAAATTCGAAACATAAAATAGATAAAGATAATTTAAAAATCCTCTGCACATGCGAAAAAGGGAAAATGATGAATTTGTTGGAATCTATGGAAATAAACAAGTCAAAGAAAAATCCCAATTCTATTATCCTCAACGAACAACATGATCTAAACAATAGTCCTCTCTTGAACCTATAACCCAGTTCCCAAAAACCTACGTTTTATCAACATTTTTTGTTATGTTCATTGATATACTGCTATTAATTGAGGTTATTCCAGGTATAGACAATGTAGATATCAAATTATTTATGATAGGTATAGGCAATGTAGGTATCAATAATCAGATTTGAATGTAATCTAGTTAGTTTTGAATGACCGAAACTAGTCAACGAATATATAACTATCGTGGAAAATAGACAAAAGTGTGTTTTTATAGTGTATCCTCAGTGAACATAAATTTCCACAAAATAAACAAGTCGTCAATCAAATAAATCATTGATCCAAGGTGGTATACTCGTTCTCCAGATATCACAATACTTGAATTTTCCTTTTGGGATACTTGAAGCAAAACATATATGAGGATCGACTTTTCAGTATTATCAAAGAGCTTGAAGCATCCATAATATTTCTTTGCAGAAATATTCCTGCTAGGGTGTTGGTATATACTTTTGATGAATATTATAAGATACCAATTAGATGCAATTAACGAGAAAATGGAAATATAGAAACATTTTGATGGTTTCGTTATATGTGTTGACAAGTTTGTAAAAACTAGTCAACACAACGGAAGCTGTATAAACTAATTCCTAATTTTTTTAGGCACAGGCTAGTAGAAATGAGATATTGTAGGTATGCTCCTAAGGATTGTAATATTTTTTATTTTTAGTTTATTATGATATATTCATATATTTAACCGGTTCATAATTTTTTATACCCCCTCCTGTAAATATCCACTTTTGCTTGGTTAACCAAAACGTATACAGAGTATTTGGGACCTGATACAACTGGTACTAGATGAGTCAATATGAAATCGTTTGAAATTTATTAGAACTATCCCTGAATAATTGAAAAAAACACGTTGAAAATAAAAAAAATTGTTAAGCTTTTATAAAAATGAATACCGAACCAATTCTTTCTACATCATCTGAAAGAGACGATGTATCCTGTCGCTTGGAATTTTGATACTTTACCCTATTATAGTAGATAATTGAATATTAATGTCAAACAATAAAAGAAATTTGATAGGTAGATTTCAAACCTCTGGCATAAAATGAATCTATTAGAAAAACTCTATACCAGGACAAAAATACGAGTACTGTCTTTCAACGCACGTTTGTCTTACCAATTTAGTATCATCAAGAGATTCCTGAAACTAGAAATATAATAAAGAACTGGAGAGAAAAGCAGAAAATTACCATAATTCGACTGAAACTCCAATGTCTTGCCAAACAATTTTCAAACTCAGAACCAGCTCTCAGAAAATCACATCTGGGAATCATTTGAAACAAAAATTGCAGCAGTATTTTAGTACTTTCCAATATACAGGTCAGACTTTTCGACAATTTTCGAAATGTAATCGGCGATATAGAGAATTTTATATACATTTTGTACAACTAAAGTCTATAGCTTTGAAAAGTCTGACAATTACATGAAATGCAGGGATCGACGAAGTATTACACAACAAATATAGGAAGAGGACATGAATACACAGTTTATAATTGGTTTATTGAATCTAATAATGTAGAGGGTAATGTATTCACAACCAGATAACGTAGAAGAGAATTTGTAGGTATCAGAAAAGGAAGAACTGATAAAACCGCCAGAAAAAAAAATGTAGAAGTCTATACCAAAATAAATAAATAGAAAATGGCAATACTATTTTATTGACCTAACAAAATACAGATTACCTAAAAAAAAATCAGATTAAAAATATAGAAAAAATAGAGATCAAATAAAAACAATAAAATACAAATTTTCTAGTATATGAAATCTATGGTAACAGAAATAAAATCAAAATGAATGATAAAATAAAACTCCAAGTAACCGGACCGAAGTAATATTGACTTATGTCAAAGAATTGTCCTGATAGGAAATTCGAAAGGAAAACTGAAGATAAGAAAGTTAATCTTCCCTGTTCCTACGCATCGATTTATTCGAGCGAAATGATTGGTTTGTGGACTTCGAAGCATCGATACATATGAAAATGAAATAAGATTTTGTCGGAAACCCCATAAATATAAGAAAGAATAGCTTTCGGGTGGCCAGTGAGCTTGGTAGCTAAATCCAAAACAAGCACTTCAAAATGCAATAATCTTCTCGACACACGTTTCACCAACCAAGTTGGCTTCTTCGGGAGATGTTTTCTTTTCAGATAGTTTTCTTCATTTCCTGAATGGTGAACTGATATGTGAGTCAAAGTTGTTGAAGATTTTTACCAATTTTTGTGACTCCGGTAGCTGGAAGGGATATGATAAAGTCATCTACATATACTGAAAGATACGAGAGATTAATTTTTGAGAAAGAAAGCTTTTGCCCATCTACTTCTCCATCTTTACACAAAATTATGTGGGAATCTTCCAAAGAAAGAAAGAAACCAATTACTGTCAAAATGAACTTTTCACAAGATGTGTAGATCATGCAAAAAAGTAACTTTCAGACACAAACTGGAAAGAAAACCTCTCGAAACAATACTTTCCACACAATGTACCACAGGTGAATTCAATCCTGCATCAATGTTCTTTGAACCCGTCACAAAGGACGATATACTTGAGGTTATCTCTGTATCTGTAGAGTAGGGAGGGTGAGTGTAAGCCCACGCACTTAGGCCACATGTGACCCATTGTACATCCTCCCGAGGAGTTGTCCTCCTAGGTCATCGTCCATCCTGTCCTTTCCAGGAAGGTGGACAGGTCGCTGGGAGACATCTCCTTTATATCGGCAGNTAACCCAAATCAGCTACAGTACGTATAGCCCTTTTCTGTAGCCTAAAAATAATAATTGAGTCTCTTGCGTTACCCCAGAGAGTAATTCCATAACTCATATGTGAATGAGACAGAGAGAAGTATGTCATCTTCAATGTATTGCTACTTGTTATGGTTTTCAACTGACGAAGAATGGAAATAGATGGGGACAATTTATTTAAAAAAATCAATATGTGAATTGCAAGGTAGGCCATTGTCTATGAGAATTCCAAGTATATTCATAGTCTCGTGTTCAGATCTGTAAGGTTGCTTTGAAAAAAGTAGTATTTGTGTTTTATCACTGTTAAATTTAATTTGTCCATTGCAAATCGATTGTCAGATATTTCCCTTACCTCTTCATGAGTTCTCATCAGATTCGTCATATTTTCTTCTGAATATATAAAATTTGTATCATCAGCAAAAATTACCCAATTGCAGTTGCAGTTTCGTAAGAATGTATCATCTTTCCTACCAACCAATTTCCTGGAGTCTTCGAAGTCCACTAGATACTCGTTGAGACAACAAGAGGATTGTTTCGAATTCTTGGGGTTCTTGTTGAATATTCTTCTTGAGCAGAAAAACAGCAGAATCAATACTTCCGACCGCTCTGGATTGAATGTCTATCTCGTCTTGTGTTTGTAGATCTTTTGCTAGGAAAATTCTCACTAGTTTACTTTGTAGTACATGTTCAAGAAACTTGATTTATTGTATGTGTAAGTTTGAAAATGTCCGTATAGGACGAAACTGCAGTAACGTTAGTTACAAATAAAAGTGGTAAAAAATATAGAAAGTTTCATTTCTCTTTTCTTCAACATGTTCAAGAGGTAGCAAAAACGTATGTGACTTTCTAGAACTTCAACAAGCATTTCCTAATATGAC